CAGCTCATCCAGCATTCCTGCCCAAACCCAAAAAGAACAAAAATTCAATCTTTTTCATCAACTCTCTGTATTTGCAGAGAAACGCTTAAAAGGGTAAAGTGGGAAACCTTCGATGTCATCAATGGTGACTCCTTGAGAGACCAAAATATGGTGAGGCATCTTCATGATGTGCGATATCTCTCTCATCCGTGAAATCGCATCTATCGTATGAGATTGCATTGCCTCCATGAACCATCTCCTATCTTCCTCGCTGCCCCCACCACGTTCACATTTTCATCACTCATACAAAAATTCTTCTTATAAAACTACGGATACGGAACTTGAAAAGAAAAAACAGGGTTCTTCATAAGCGATCAGATTCAAGCGCTATTGATTAACCAGAATCGCACTCTCTGTTTCTTGGTTTCTCAGATCAAACTCATCGAATCAAGAGGCAAGATTCAAAAAAGAGACAAAAGGATTCTCCAATGGAAGACGCTCGTACGGATACCTCAAATGGCGAGAAGAAGTGGCGCCGTCGGAATGGGAGAGGCTCCATTTGAGCAATCCTTCCCAGTTCGGCCCTTCTTTCACCATTCTCCAAGACTACCAAAAGATCTCAACTTGAACCGAATTCGGAGATATCTTTATATGTAGACATCGCCAAAAGCGTGGTTTAGCTGCCCCGGTTGCAGGAATATGTCGGCGATTCTTTATCCACAAAGGAGAAAATATCTGGGGGTGGGGATGGCATCATAACTGAAACGACGGCGTATTACTCATTTGGGCCTTTTTCAATAAATCCCCATATGTGAAAGATGCATTATGAAACCACAACTATCGGCGCACAGTTGATTCAATCCATGTTAGGACACTATTGGGTACCATTTCTGCTGAAACACATATTCGAATCGAATGTAATATATAATATAAGATTTCAATGGTTATGATGTTTTTAAAATCCAGGAAAACTTGACAACCGTATCAAATATAAAATCAATAAATCTACCTGAATCGAAATATAATCAATCATAAATATGTATAATTTTTCTGAAAAAAAAATCTAAACATGAACTATGACATGAAACACTTTCTAACAAGACATGAAAAAATGTAATCTTAAAAAAAAAAGTATACAGCTATGAGATTTCTAACAAATGAAAGAGCAAAAACCAAAACTTTTGAGATTTGACGAAAGAACAAATAATCCAAAATCTTACAATAAAGAAACGGCGGCTTGTATGTTTCTGACACTGTCGTCGAAGAACATCTGCACATATGAAATTAATAGTATAACTATCAGACATCACAATAATACCCTTTAAACTACCACACATTTTATTTTAAAATAACGAAAACAAACCAGAAATCATATAATACAATATATAGATTGTTTGTATATTTTCCAAAAATATTTTATTTTAATATAATGAAAATTTATAAAAGAAATGTATAGACTTTATACAATATTTTAATATTTTATTTCAGAATAATATTAGTTTATAAATCTGTGAGATATTTGGTAGTTTTTAATTTATTTCAGTATAATATTAGGTTACGGAATCAATTTACTACCGGAAAAAATGAAGCGCTCGTTTTAAGAAATTAGACTCAGCCCATTACAATTGAAACGGGCCTATGAAAGACCCGTAGAAAGCGCGTGAGTTTATAGGCGCGTGGGATAACACGATTGGAAAGTGAAAATTCAAAAAGATAAGGTGACGTGGCACATCAGGAGACAAGATAAGGTGCCTTTCGCTCTAATCATATGACAACACAACGAGAAGGGGGGAAGAGAAGTTTCCGGCGAAGTCGCAATCACCGGCGCCGAAGATTTCACTACCGGTAGAGTAAACCGCTGCTGACTTCTAACAATGGAGACGATGATGACGCTCGTATCTCCCCCGGTCGTTCCGGTTTCTGGTTATAAATCCGGCATTGTGACTTGTTCGTCGGTGTCAGTACATCGTTCTCCATCTCTGTCGTGTTTGTCGTCTCTTCGCTCTGGTTCTTCGGTTTGGGATCTGAAGTCTTGTTCTGGTCGGAGAAAGTGTGTCGCAAAGTTTAGCAGAATGTCGGTTGTTGTTGCCGCTGCAGCCATTGCAGAACCTCGAACCGTCCTGGTTACCGGCGCCGGCGGAAGGACAGGTTCTCTCTCTCTCTCTCTTCCTCTCTCCTGTGTCCAATGATGTTTGCGTGGAACATGAAGAAGATTTAGATTTTCTCAGGAACGACCTTGTGCAATTCGAGAATACGGAAGATTTGTGCGAGTTATCAAGCTAAATGTTGATACGTTCCGTACATCAATGGGGTCTGAAATGCTCCAAAATCTTGTCACTCTGTACGCTTGTTTTGAATATATGCATCTCTCGTTGAAAATGGACAGGGCAGATTGTGTACACGAAACTAAAGGAGAGACCCGACCAGTTCGTGGCAAGGGGTCTGGTTAGGACTGATGAGAGCAAGGAGAAGATTGGCGGAGAGGATGATGTCTATGTCGGAGATATCAGAGACGCTGCCGCCATTGCTCCTGCGGTCCAAGGAATCGATGCCCTTATCATTCTCACTAGTGCTGTCCCTAAAATGAAACCCGGTTTTGATCCTACCAAAGGCGGAAGACCAGAGTTCTACTTCGAAGATGGGGCTTATCCAGAACAGGTGACTACTTGTGGACTCTCTGGTCTCTTTTAAAGTTCTCAAACATCATTCTGATATCAACTCGTTATCTTTTTGTGATTTTAGGTTGACTGGATTGGTCAGAAGAATCAGATAGACGCAGGTTTGTAATCTGTATTCCTGTCATTGTGTTTTAACCCGGTTTCCTGGTATGCGTGCTTGGCTGAGGTGCCGGTAATGGCCTTTGTTGAACAGCCATGGCTGCTGGAGTTAAGCAGATTGTCTTGGTTGGGTCAATGGGAGGAACAAATCTTAATAACCCTCTGAACAGCATTGGCAATGGCAATATTCTGGTAAGTTCATCACTCTTGGAAGAGTTTATATAGCATATTGCAACAATCTTTTAGAACCCTTCTGCAAAATTCTAGGTATGGAAGAGGAAGGCCGAGCAATATTTGGCAGATTCTGGTGTCCCCTACACAATAGTCAGGTGGTTTCATATACTTGAATTTGTTACAATGCAGGAATGTTGTTGCTTCTGTTCTGTGTATGATCTGATGATAATGCATTCGAATCAGGGCCGGTGGTCTGCAGGATAAGGAAGGTGGAATCCGAGAATTGCTCGTGGGGAAAGACGATGAGCTTCTCGAGACGGACACGAGAACGATCGCGAGGGCTGATGTAGCAGAAGTCTGCATCCAGGCAAGTTCATAAGGAATAAAAGATCACATAAACTTGTTTAGACAAAATTTTCAGTTCTTGATCCCTGTTCTGTCCTGTATGAGCAGGCATTGCAGTTGGAGGAGGCGAAAAACAAAGCAATAGATCTGGCCTCCAAGCCGGAGGGGACTGGAACTCCAACGAAAGATTTCAAGTCACTCTTCGCACAAGTAACGTCCCGGTTCTGATCTTTCTGTTTGTTCCTGTTTTTAGATTCAGAGTTGAGAGAACTACTACTGTCCATTTAATGCAGTAGACACCCTTTTGTCTTAACGGCTCTTTCTGTATTTCCAAGGGTTTTGTCCTTTAATTTTAGTGCATTGAAGACTGAAGAGCAACACTCCAACAAACTCAAGAGATTAGCAAATATCCAAGCAGTAGTGTATTCTTCAAATAGAAATAAAAATATCTACGAGTAAGCATTTCCTTTGTGTTGAGTAATTTTGGTTCTTGCTAGGGTAGACATGCTTTTTATTTCTCGGAATTTACCAAATTAAAAAAAATGTGAAGCAGAGAAAAAATAAGTAGATATGATACGACATTGCCAGGGAAAATGAATAAAATGACGCCGTCTGTGGGGATCGAACCCACGACCACGTGGTTAAAAGCCACGCGCTCTACCGCTGAGCTAAGACGGCATATGCATTCATTTCTTTATATAAATCTATAGTTGATATTAAATCTGATGTGACCAATAGAATCTTCACACGCCTGTAATTCATTGCTGTTTTTTACCTATTCTTTTGTCATTAGTTTATCTCTCTATTTTTCTTATGCTCGAAAATTCGAAATTCGGTTTCTCCATCATTTTTATATATAGCCATTTTGATATATATAGAAAACCAATTGAATTGAATAAAATGAGTTAAATCTGAAAAATAGATATAATTTTAGTTAAATTAAGTAATCTAAGTCGAAAATAAATAGAATTAAAAAAGATAAATGAAAATAAAATTTTCAAATAAAAGTTTCGTATTTTTTTAACAACGAGAATGTAAGTCAAATATTTTTTACCACATCAATTTTCATATAAATATTAACAGTAGTTGCCTGTTGATTTTGTTTCTAGAAAAAAACATTTATATATGTTGAAAAATCATAAATCTCGTGATTATAGGATGGGTTTGCAGGCCGTGACTGGCGAAACAGGCGAACCCTTTTGGAACTTGGAAGTGAGTTCCTGTAATGTAATGTAAGCTTTTCTACTCACGTTTTTTGAGATATCCGTCTTCGTTTTCGTCTTCGCAGATTTTAGAGAAATACTATCTTTATCACTATCTCACAACATCCGCGTACCCGTCCAACGGATACCCATAACTAAAAGACGAGTACCCGCGAGTACCCGTACCCGTATATAAAATATTAAACAATATCAAATTAAATCAAATAATCAATAAAAATATACATATTTTATTCCAAAAATATATTTTTAAATTTAAAAATTCTTAAAATATAATAATATGCATAGAATCCTAGAAACATTTTCAAAAATACACAATGATTTGAAGATGAATCCATCAAAACTTAAAAATCTAATATATAATCCTAAAGATAAGTAAAAATAATCTAAGTATTTTCGAAATTATATTAAAAATATAAGGTTAATTTTGTAATTTTAATATATATACGGATACCCACGGATACCCGTTATTTCAATATGTAAAACCCGAATCCAAACTCGTATGACGGGTATTCTAGTTTTTAATACTCGTTTTTATCTTCGTTAGATGTCGAATACCCGTTTTTCGGGTACCCACGAGATCGGGTATCCATTTACCCGGGGTAACGGGTTTAAATGCCCAGTCCTAAGCTTTTGTCTGTTTTTTTTTTTGTCATGTTCTGAGAAATGGGTTTATTATGTAATTTTTGTTACTATTCAAACGATGTAGAAACAGAAAGAACTAGAAAAAAAATTCTTCCAAAAAAGAGAAGTTCTTATTCACTAAACAGCCAATAGGGAGCAATCCAGGATTTCAATAGTAATACTACAAACAGACAAGTTCTTCAAAAAGATTTTAAGTCTCTGGTCGGAATCCAAGGATAATGAAGAACAAAAAACAACGAGCAGCGAAACGAAAAGATTAACCCAGAAGCGGATAATTAGAAAACCCTCAACGTTTCTTCCTCTGGAAAGGTTTCAACTTTGAGCTCAGAAGCATTTCCGGTGCACAATCGACGGGCCAGACTCATCGTACTCGGCCTTCGCGATCCACATCTGCAAAAAGATCATAATCCGAAATCATATTCAGAGGAAAAACCAATTGGTTTAACAAGAGAAAACAGATATCGATGTGAATGCTTGATCGGATCGTACCTGCTGGAAGGTACTGAGGGAGGCCAAGATGGACCCTCCAATCCAGACGGAGTATTTCCTCTCGGGCGGGGCAACAACCTTAATCTTCATGCTGCTCGGAGCCAAAGCAGTGATCTCTTTGCTCATCCTGTCAGCAATTCCGGGGAACATAGTGGTTCCACCACTGAGCACAATGTTACCGTACAAATCCTTTCTGATATCGACGTCACACTTCATTATGGAGTTGTAGGTTGTTTCATGGATACCAGCAGCTTCCATACCGATCATAGATGGTTGGAAAAGAACCTCCGGGCAGCGGAACCTCTCAGACCCGATGGTGATCACCTGCCCATCGGGCAGCTCGTAGTTCTTCTCCACAGCAGAGCTAGTTTTGGATGTCTCGAGCTCCTGCTCATAGTCAAGGGCAATGTAGGAGAGCTTCTCCTTTATGTCTCTGACGATTTCACGCTCGGCTGTGGTGGTAAATGAGTAACCACGCTCTGTTAGGATCTTCATCAGGGCATCCGTTAGGTCACGGCCCGCAAGGTCGAGACGTAGGATGGCATGGGGAAGTGCATACCCCTCATAGATAGGGACGGTGTGGCTCACACCATCTCCAGAATCGAGGACAATACCTGCACAGAAATTACGAGCTTTACCACACAAGGGGCACCAGATTTTCTTGAAATGAAAACTCAACTTTTGGAAATGGAAAATCTCACTCACCGGTAGTACGACCACTGGCATAAAGGGAAAGGACGGCCTGAATGGCCACATACATGGCCGGGGCATTGAAAGTCTCAAACATGATCTGGGTCATCTTCTCACGGTTAGCTTTCGGGTTTAGAGGTGCTTCGGTGAGAAGAATGGGGTGCTCTTCAGGAGCAACACGAAGCTCGTTGTAGAAAGTGTGGTGCCAAATCTTCTCCATATCGTCCCAGTTGCTGACAATCCCGTGCTCAATTGGGTATTTTAGGGTTAAAATACCACGCTTGGATTGAGCTTCGTCACCGACATAAGCATCCTTCTGCCCCATTCCCACCATCACTCCGGTATGACGAGGTCTGCCCACAATGCTAGGGAACACAGCCCTTGGTGCATCATCCCCAGCAAATCCAGCCTAAGCAAACAAGCAATACACAACATGAACTTAGACATGGAATACTTATACACTATACTTCAAATGAAGAACACTAAGCTACACATATGATATGATACATCTCCAAATCATGAAAATAGTTGTCTATGTCAATGCTTATCATGTTAGATCCGATTCATCAAACGCAACACCATGAAGTTTCAGATTCAGGAACATATTGGAGAAAACCAAAGACAGATTGAAAGATCAAACATTGAAGATACACAAGTGATCACTGAAAGCAGACATTGTAGTTTTAGAATACCTTGACCATTCCAGTTCCATTGTCGCAAACAAGGGGTTGAATGTCCTCACCGTCGGCCATGTTCTACTTTCTGCAAAGAAAATTACAAGATTTCAGATTTCCCCAAACTCACTACGCGAATAGATTGTAAAGAACAAATTTGGCATCAAACAAAAACGAAATCAGAGATCCTAGGAAGAAAAATCAAGCCTAAAAGGATCATAAACAAACAAAAGGAGACGAATTTTCGAGATCCAGAATCACATTATATCGATATTGTGAAATTAAGCAACATTACCAAGGAAAATAAAAACACGCAGCTGAAAACATCACAGTTAAACTTCAAATTACTTGATTTAAGCAAAATAACGATCTATGAAAAGGCGATCGACTGTTTAACAATCCCAGATCGAAGATCGATTCATGGGCTTTCGGTTTTCCCGATCGATCCAACGCAACACCATCATCAATCCATTAACGCAAAAACCGGAAAAACGAAAACCCAGAACGGAAATCACGAAATACGAACCGAGATGACACTGTCAATCAAATCGATGAAGGAACGTAACGAAGCCATCCAGATCGAAAGGCAAACACAAAAGAAGCCAAAATTTTACCGGGAATTGGAAGCAAAAGACGATAACTTTCTCAGAGACGGAGGATCGATCGCCAATAACTTTTTTTTTTCTTGTCGATTGAAGGGAAAAAAACGACAGTGGAGAGAAATGGAGGAAGCGATAGGAGGCTGAAGAAATGGGATGAGTAAATAGGAAACGGGTCCGAAGGCTTCGAAACCGGCTCACCTCGTTTTCCGGTTCTATTCTGGAGGATATTACGATTTTACCCCTCACTGCTTTTTAGTTTTTGCCAATGTGATGAATGATGATTAGGTTTTCCCCCCCTTTGGTTACAATATAATTATTTACCAAAGCGGCTTTAATTTTAATATTCCCCCTTGTTATAAAATAATTGAGGATAATTTTTTGGTATAATATACATCTATTTTCGATTTGAATTGAACCATAGTTATATATAAATTAAATATACTTGGATTTTATATAATTTTATTAGTGAATTTAAATTAAATATAAAATAATTGAAAAATTAAATATATAATTATTGTAGTTAAATTTAAAATAGAAAATAATATAAAAAATTGAATAGAGATACTTTTATTGAAGCAGATTTAGTAAAGAAAATTAAAATAATTAAAATACTTATGTAAAAACTATTTAAAAGCTTTGGATACTAGTCAATCAAACCCTACAATTCAATTCGAATTCAACTTTTGACAAAATGTGGGATAAATTGGGACACCTGCGTCAAAATAATAAAAGCTTCATATTTAAAGCATACATTAACAAAAAAAATATTATATAATAAATCTTATAATTAATTTAATAAAAAATAATATAATAAACAAAAACTTCATAATTCACACAAACTATAATTTATATATTTCATTTATATTTTCATAACTCTCAAAGTAGAGGGTACAAGACTAGAAGAGCCAATGTTAAATTCAGAAAACGACTTTAGATCTTGATACTATAGTAATTTATAAGATAATAGGTTTTAGTAATATCGATAATAAGAAGTGTTTAAATGTGCGTCATAATTTCTTTTTTTTTTTTTTGGTAAAACTACGAATATAAATAAGAATGCATTTTGGACTTTAATGTTTAGGAACACAGTGTCGTCGTCCATTTCCGATATTGATCTGGTTTTGTTTTTCTTTGTTTTGTATTTTTTTTTTTAAGGATTATGCAAATGTTCTTTGTCTATATACCAATTCATACTTTGTTTTCATTGAATTCTCCGAATATAAAAAATTATATATACGAATATAAATATAAATATGACCATTTTCACCTATATATACCTCTTGAAATTATAGATGAATTTACACTGATATGGTTCACAAATGACGTTCTCAAAATCAAACCATAGATGAAAAAATCTCCAAATTCACGGTGAATTCGTATAAGAAACACTAGAAATAGTAAAGATGCCACAAACACTTGCTGTTAGTACTTAATAAGTCGAATAACACTTACATGATATAAGGAGTTTGGATGCTAGTTCTTACATAAATTTCAAAGAGACACTCTCAAAATATGGTAAAATCAGACGTTCACTAGCCCTTTTAATAAGTCCAATTATACTCAAAAGATTTTGAATATCCTAAATGGCGAAAAATAAATTTTTTTAAAAATTATTCCGTTGGGATGAACCATGTACAATTTAGTCCGAACAGATTGTCTGTAACAACAGGTAAAGCCTTGTGATGGATAGGTGCTCGAACGAACCGACAAATGTTCGGACCGAGCGCATGCTCGGATGGACGGACGTGCACTCAGATTGAACGCGTCTTCTGTGACTCGAAGAAGGCACGTTCAAGGCCGTTCTCCGCTCCCATGTTCATCCCCGGCTCGTCCGCATTGCTTTTCCTATTTTATTTGTTAAAAATCTTGTTTTATGAATGATTTACAGTTCCAAACGAATTTTTGCATAATTATAATTATGTATTGATATGTCCTATGGAGCGTAATAATTATGAAATGAAATTCGATCACTAATATGAATATACGGTTATGAAAATTCTGTATATCTTATCCATATTATTCTTAATAAAAATCTAATGATTAATTTGGAATCAAATTGTAATTAGGTGGTAATAAATCTGAGTTTTAAGGAATATGACATAAAACATTAGTTACTTTGTGAGAGAGGCTTAGCTCAAAAAGCGATACGATATACGATTTATTCGTCCAGGTCATGTTATATATATATATATATATATGATATATTACGTCAAGTGGCGGAATCCCTCTCTACGAATCAGAGACTTTGATGCTCAACGAACACAATAGACTCGCTCCAACCTCCGTCTCTCTCTCCCTCTCGCGGGAGATTTTAGCTGAATGAGAAAAGCAAAAACTAACTGAAACGCAAAAATAAGTCCAAAGATCGCAAAATAAAAAAGGAAAAATAACAAATTCCGTGATTAATATTCAATCCCACGTTGTATCTATCCATCCACACCATTCTTCTTCTTCTTCTTCTTCTTCTTCTTCTTCTTCTTCTTCTTCTTCTTCTTCTTCCTCTCTCTCTCTCTCTCTCTCGGGAACAACACTCGAAACACATTTGCTTTTTTGGAACAACTTTTGTCAGTTTCTCGAGTTTTAAGATTCTGGGTATGTCGGAACAACTCGTAACTTCCGAGGTTTCATCGCCGGAGGATTGTCGCAGGGAAGAAGAATGGTGGAGAGAAAACGAAGAAAACGGAGCGGATGAAGTTTCCGACAAACCCAAGTTCGAGATTCCCCTGAAACGGAAGAGATCAGAAGAAGAAGAAGAAGAAGAAGATGAAGAAGATGGTCATGAGGTTCGTCCAGAAGTGGACGATGGCGGCGACGGATTCAAGACGCCGACTCGGCCGGAAAACAGAGTACCGGAGATCGGAGAATGTCCGGCGGCGCCGATGAAAGACAGACCGGGGCTATCCGCTTTTTCAGTTATTAAAAGAGGATCTTGCCGGAGACGCCTTGAGTTTCTGCCGGAAGATATGATCGGCTCTTTTTTCACAGATTTGCAAAAGACCGCGACGAAGAGGATGACAGTAGAAGCAGACGACGGAGATACAATCGTACGAGTTTGATAATTATTATAATTATTTTGGGTAACAATTTAACGCCTTTGTTAATCATCTGCTGCTCTCTAATAATCAAAGTTTTTTTTTTTTTAACTTTCTGGATTTAGAGAGGAAAAAAAAGCAAGAAATAACATAATGTTATAATTTCCAAAAATCCAAATATTGTTAAAATTCAATATTCAATTAATAGCTCTGACCAGTCTTCAAGTCTTCCGTCCATAAACACATGGTCGAGGTTTTGTACATATTGCATTTAGCGTTTTAATTTAAAGTATGATTTGATATTGTAATTCTGTAAGTATTTTTATATTTATAAAATAGAAAATATTCCCAAACACAAAAAAAAGTCAATCTTTATTTAAACTAGATAAGACCCGCGCGATGCGCGGTTTATTATTTTAATATAAAATATTTAATTGTTTAAAAAATTATTGATATAAACACAATAGAAATTGATATATATATTATGTAAAGTTAAATTGTATTATTATATCAATAAACATATGTATATATCAAAAATGAAATAATATAAATATCATTGTATTGTTATAGTATACAATTATTTTTATATATGTGTTGAATAAATTTATTAATTATTTATTTTCCATATATTTATTCCCATATGTTGTGTTATTCGATCTCTAAAAAAATAGTTACAAGAAGATGATGATGATGATGATGATGATAATAATAATAATAATAATAATAATAATAATAATAATAATAATAATAATAATAATAATATATTATATGTAAAGTTAAATTATAGTATTAAATCAATATACATATATAGAAGAAACGAAGAAATGAAAGAATATAGAGATCATTATATTAAAAATATTTTTATACAAAACCATTTTTATTATATCATACATACATATAAATGAACATATAAATTTTAAATATATAAAACTAAACGAACGTAACAAAATTAAATAACCATTTAGTTGTGACTTTATAAGATCTAAAATATATGAATTCAAATTAATTATTTCTGTTATTGAAAAAATCTATTTTGCTAAATTTCTCTTATTATTCCATTTCAATTACTCATTTCTCAATTAAAAATAAAATAAAATCTTATCATTTAGTTTATTATAATTTTTTATTTCATTAAAAATAATCATTTCATTTTTAGTTATTTATTTTTCCATTTTATCTTAAGAAAATCTAAACATTTAGTTTTATTATAATTTTTACATATACATATTGTCCAACCAATAAATCTTCAGCCATTTTACGGCCTTTTTGTATATGTCATTATCATGGCCTTGCAAATTCTCTATCTTGTCTTGTCCATCTGTTTCTTCTATCTTGTCTAAATCCTTCAAACATACCGTTGTTATAGATCCGGACAATCTAATAGATGGTCATCGGTTTGATGCTTCCTTGGCTCACAAAATATATACAAATGATTCTATTTTCATGATTCTGAATTTTTTTGCGTATTTGTAGATAAAAAAAAGTTAGAAGGAGAGTGATGTGTGTTTGTGTTACTTGATTTGCTCATAGGCTCCATCAGATGTGGCATTGGATGTTGTCCACCTCTTCCTTCTTGGCTTTGCGTTTCTTTACATCAACCAGATTCCTTCCAATTTACATTTATGGTGTTCTTTAGACGTTGATAACTCGAGACCAGATATAACAGGAAAAACTACAATAAAAGAGAGTATCGAAGAAAAACTCTTAGCCAAACCTGAAACAATTGTTGAAGCATACATATATAAAGTATATATGAAAATGATGGGGGTGAGAAGTTCATCCCCAATTACCATACAAGTGCAGAGAAGAACCAAAAAAAGTAAGGCAGTGTGAAGAGACGTGTTTTTTTAGGTGTCTCGTCAGCTAAGCTTCGACTTTTCCGCTGAAATAAACTTGTATATAGAATCATATGTCGATTAGTATATCAATGAGTTTTAAGGGTTGGTCTCTCGACCAACAAATTTGCGAGTAATATTGCATTATGTCATACAAGTTTCATTCAGCGTCAGGGGCGGATCTAGGTTAGGAGGTGTGGGGGCACAGGCCCCCACTCTAATTCAAAAAATTAAGTAATTCTTAGGCAATTTTTGTAAAATTATGGAAAAAATTACCCTATGCCCCCATAAAATAACATTTGATTCCATAAAATGATATATATAAAATCAGTGCCCTCATTTATATTTTTTTCTAAGTCCAGCAGCACTGAGCGTCGGTCCATGAAATGTACCCTTACGCGTTTCTTGGAGATCTTTAATGTGGTCATCGGCGAGATCGAGCATATCCACGGTGTTCGTTTGCTGAAGAACAAAAACAAATACTTATAAATCAAATCTTAAGTAGAAAAAAAAGAAACCGAACTGAAGGAAAATATCTAAACCTTATCCATGTTCGCAACCAAAGCTTGAAGCGTCTTCATTCGTTTACTGATCTTCGTACTCCTAACCTAATACTCATCAACCATCCAACATGAATAACAAACCAAAGATTTGAACACAAACATAATCGGATTGTAAACTATGAAATAACACAACAAATTGAAATTTATTAGAAAAATAACAAATAGTAAATGTAGTATTACTGAATATGGCGTTTTAGCATCTTAGTCACGATACATTATTTTGTTTTAATTTTCTTTTTTTAATGTTTATTCCACTAAATATCATTTATTTGTCCATTTACTCCCATTATAATGAAACATTCTCATTCCTTGAGAGAATAGCAAGCAGTTTTTTTATTTCTGTAACCGTTCCCTTTATTATTTAAGAACTTTTTATTTTTGTAATTATAATAATTTATTGGTTTTTTTTATATCATGTCCTCAAGATTTTATGTAATATTTTATTTTGTTATTTTTATTAACATAAAATCATAAGGATATCATTTTTTAAATATAAGTGTAATTAAATAAATATCTTAATAATATATAAAATTAAGATAAAAATAGTATTTTAATATAATAAAATTGAATCCTTTTTATTTAAATAATCTATTCACATTTTAACTCTTTAATTGTATAAAATATAATCTATTGACATTTCATGTTTTACATATCTAAGAAAAGATCCATATATTTCACATTTTACCTCTTTAAAATTAGGTATAATCTAATAAAATTTACATAACTAATGATTAATTTAAATGACCAATAAGAATTTAAAAAATCACCGCATAATGTGATTACTTATTTTTTGTATTATATGCCACATTGTTTTTTAACGTATATTTTTATATACAAAAAATAATAATCCAATTATATGCCACATAGATTATGACATGGAGATGAGGTGGCTTCACCAGAAACCTTCGAACACAATTATTTATATGTATAGATTCTAGGGTCCATAATTAAAATCAATCAAACATTATTTTGTTGCAAAGTCATTTTCTTCTATCGATTGAACATTATTTTTATTTCCAACTCAATTTTCACCCGTTTTCGCATATCATAACATTTCTAAACTGTTCCTACTTCTATTGGTCATCGCCTCCGAATAGAAATCCACAAAATAAAAAAAAAACAATACATGAATACAAAGATCACCATTTTCGAAAACATCAAAATTTATTAAATTTGAAAAATCAATTGTGTGATATGTTTTATTTACTAAATCTTTCATCCTTATGGGAGATAATTTTTTAAAAATTTGGATTCACTTATTTGATCGAATCTAATCAAATCAAATCAAATCAAAATAAAACTAAACCGAACTGGTATTTTAAAAAATCATTTGTTGTTCAATTTGTGTTCCATGATCCAACATTATATGAAAAAAAAAATACATGTGAGAGTATTGGATATAAAAATTAAATAGATATACTTTTAAAATATATTAAAAGCATAAAATAATAATAATTATTATTAAAAAAATCAATAAAAATAAAAAATTACTGAAAATTAAATTTAATGTAAAAATCAGATAGAGATTGTTATTCTTTTATAAAAAAATGTCGAATTAAAACAACCCAACAGAATTTTAATGGAAACGTGATGTGATTATTCCTTGATTTTTATCAATTATAGCTATTATATATATAGAGAGAGAGTTGTAAAGAAAGTAAGTAAATAAGGAAGGACGACAGAAAGGGGGCAGACGGCAAAGGCAGTGTGGTCGCTTGTAGGGGTGGGCATTCGGTTCGGGTATTTCGGTTATTAACCGAACCGACCGATATATACCCGAACCGAACCGAACCGAATAAAATTAAATAACTGTTTGGTTATGATTTTTTAAAACCCGAAATAACCGAACCCGAACCGAACCGAACCGATTAAAAATTATTAACCGTTTGGTTATAAATTTTTATAAACCGAATTAACCGAATCCGAACCGAACCGTTTATATATCTTCATTTATATATATTTATATACATATATGAATGTTTATATTCTTGATTTAATCATTGTTTTATTATATTTTAAACGCATTTTATCATTGTTATTATTATTTTTAAAGTTTGTCTGATATAAACATTAGAAGTTTGGTTATAGTTTTAAATAGACAAAACCGAACCGAACCGAACCGAAACCGAACCGAACCGAACCGAATAAAATTAATTAACCGTTTGGTTATGAGTTTTAATAACCCGAAATAACCGAACCCGAAATAACCGTAACCGATTAAACCGTAACCGACCGTTCGCCCACCCCTAGTCGCTTGGATGCCAAAAGCATATGAATTTCATTTCTCGTTGGTTGCCAACTTGACTCTGTTCCAATTCCAATGTGTATATACACTCACATATGCATCCTATTATATATATTACACGTTAAACCGATATATTTTTAATATATTTTGTTGTTATGAGTTGATATTTTGCTTAGGCTATTCAATTCCCCCTTTGGTAACTGTTCTTATGGCTGACACGACCTTTTTCTTTTCACGTCTCCGTAACCATTTTTTTCCTCCTCCCAGCTACCAATTTTGTTTCTTTTTTCTCATTTAAAAAAAATATTATTTAACAAAGATGTGTTTCCTTTGACAAAAAAAAACGTGTTTAATATTTTTTTTGGATCGGTGATATTGGTAAACTACCTATTCCTATCAAATCCTCTGATAATCATCGGTTCTGTTCCATTTGGGTTCGTGCTTGTTCGCTTCCCCTTTTCCTCATTACTCGTCTCATCAACTCTTCCGCAGGAGGATATTCTTCTTCTTCTTCTTTCCTCTTTTCTCCTTCGATCGCTGCCCTTTTTTGTTTCTACTTTGCGCGGATTTGAAAGAGAGGAAGAATCTGGGAAAATTAGAGAAGTGGATTTCCCCCTGAAATTTTCTCTGATTTCTTCCCCGTAGGCTTTTCAGATCGATGCCTGGTGTTTTCTACTAGATTTATGTGTACTTTCTTCTCTTCGATTTCTCGAATCTTTCGAGCTGGATCGAGCCTCAACGAATCTATTGACGGATTCCATTTTCTTTTCGAAAATTTCCATTCTTGTTTCGAAATTCCGAGTCTTTTCCTCCTGAATTCGTCAGAATCGATCGGCGTACAAGTGATTGTTTCAGTTTGTTCCACAAAAACATGGTAAAATATATTTAAAAAAATGCGGAGGCTAAGGGAAAAAATGGTGGAAAGGACCTTTGGCCTTGACTGTTTGTCGAGATAATATTATAATCTCGAGAATGGTCTTGATTTAAGGAAACACATTGGTTACGGTGAGATGAAGTTTAATGCCAAAGTAGATATGAAATTCCAATTGTATTTAGAAATACCTGAGTGTCTTTGATTTATAATGGGCGAGTCTGTAGTAATCTTTTGAATCCTTCCACGAAAATCCTGCAAATTTTGGAGACTACTGCACAGTTTCGGATAATATATACTTGTAGAATTCAATGTAATAAATCTGGTTATTAGATGAGCAATGAATACCACGTTTCAGAATCGTCCGTTTCTTTATCTTTTAGTTTACCTAATCACTAAATATCAATTGATGCATTAAACTATAATTATGGTTGAAAATTTTCAATTACTCCGATAACGTATTTTATTTTTTTATATGGAGAAATTGATAAACCAATGAAAATTACAAAAATATCCATATAGGATGCTACCAAATTCTTTTAAACATAACTTTATATATATATATAGATTTTTATATGATAATAATCTATTAATAATATTTTATATCAAAATAACCATAAAAATTTAATATAAATCTATAAAACTACGATCAAAATGAACTTGTTATATATTAAAATTAATTTTAATCTAATCATATACAAATTATTGAATTAATGTGTTAAAAAACTTTATTATAATAATCTAAAAATAGTGTAATAAATTATTTATATATATAGATTTTATTATATAAAACTAACAATGAAATATATTTTTTCTAATGTGTATACCAAAAATTAGTGATAATATAATCAAACTTTGAAATTATTATAAATAAAGATTTTAATGAACCAATAAAAATATTAACCACTTCATCCAATATATGGTTTTGAAACGTAGATATTTTTTGATATTGAATGCACCATAATTATATTTTTTATTGTTGTTAGTTTTGCTTTTTAAATTACAAAAATAAGATATATAATATATAATATATGTGGAAATTAATGAACCAATAAAAATTGATAAAAGTGCCACATGAGATGATGAGGTGTCTTCACCAAATCTCTTTAAACTTTTTTATTAATATATATAGATTTGATTTATGGTATCTCTTGGTAACGTAATTCAATCTTGAAAATTAAAATCAAGTACTAATGGTTTAATTTGACTATAGAAAATCAATTACAATCGATATTACCTCCAATAAAATCGAAATCGTCATCTCGTTTTAACATCTCCCTCAATGCCCCCTTAATGGTTTGTATTAATTTTAAAACAATATTTTTTTAACAAAAATAAATAAAGTTGTTTTTTTAGATGGCCGCATTGCAAGCCATACAAAATGATTTGGGCCACGTAATAAAGCCCATATACCTATTAAAGCCCAAATTCAGGTTAATTCGGCCTCTTTTGAAATAGCAAATCTAGGGTTTCTCTCTCCCTGTCGATGTATTCATAAAAAAAAAAGCTTCGGCTGTAGTTTTTCTGCTTCTCCATTGCAGGAACCCTAGGAGGTCGATCCTATACAAGGTAAGGTAACTGGCAAATCGGATGCTCTTACATCAGGGTTATGTTCAAAATCGTTTCTTGTTCCAGTTTCGGAAGTGGTTGTTTGTTCTGTCGCATTCAATTTATCATTTCCAGCTTTGATGTGAATGGTCGATGTGTTGCAGAAGATGGCTGCTCCGCAAGCTAAGAGCGGATTGTTCGTCGGATTGAACAAGGGACACGTCGTCACCAGACGCGAGTTGGCTCCTCGCCCCTCTTCTCGCAAAGGGGTATTTCATGCTTCCCTAATTGGGTTCTTCCTCCTCAATAGTTTGGTTTTTGTCACTGTGATGTTTGGATCCGGTTTTAGTTGCGGTTAGGCTCTCTAGATTGTGGAAGAATGCTTAATCAGGGTTTTGATGGACGGTGAAATCTTGTCTTGCTCATATTTTTAATTTTATTCTGTCTGAGTCTGTAGCTCAGAAGTTATTTCTTTTCCGTACTTTATACTTAATTACATCAGTTTAGTCAGAAGTTGGGGTTTACCTCCTTAAGGGTTTGGTTTTGGGTCACTCTGATGTTTGGATTTGGTTTTAGTTGGGTCTAGTCGCCCTAGATTGTGGAAGAATGCTTAATCTGGGCTTTGATAGGTGTTGAAACCTTGGTATTTTGTTCACATTTGTGAGTTTGTTCGGTCTGAGTCTGTGTTAGGTTTTATGGGTTTGTCGATTGTGGAAGTTGTTTCTTTGTCATACCCGATACTTAATTACATCAGTTTAATGCTTGAGGATGTTCTTAGAGATGGGTTTTGTGATTATTTGCCCAAAGTGCAACTAGTTTTGATTTCTTGATTTAACATCTATTGGAGCTTTTATATCGGGATTTGGGGCTCAATTTTTGTTTTCACTGTTTTCATTCTAACTTATAATGTGAATTTGTAGCTTTCTAGTCTTGAAGTTGCATCTTTATTAAAGTATGTTCACTTTCAGTGCAATTGGTGGGTTTATTGTTTGAATTTTGTTTTATCTGACTGTGGAGCGTGAATCAAATGTGCAGAAAACGAGCAAGAGGACCCTTTTTATCAGATCTCTCATTAGAGAAGTCGCTGGCTTTGCTCCGTACGAGAAGAGAATTACCGAGCTCTTGAAAGTGGGTAAAGACAAGCGTGCTCTTAAGGTTGCCAAGAGAAAGCTGGGTACTCACAAGAGAGCCAAGAGGAAGAGAGAGGAGATGTCAAATGTTCTCCGCAAGATGAGGTAAAAGCCCAGCATGCGTTGATCTTCTCATCATTCTTCCATTGATTTAGGTTATGCTTCATGACGTTTGCATCGAGATATTCATCTTATTAGGATAAGGAATCTTTCATGTTCTTCCAAATGGCTAACGAAGAAATCGTAATAGCCGATATTGATCGAGAGTAGATACAGTGCTGATCGAGTTGAGAATGTGCAAGAATCTCGTCATGAAACACAACCTAACTCTTCATCTAATCTCTTGCCAACTTAAGAGATGCCGATTTGTATAGCCTTCTTGTTTCAAGATAAAGGATTTTACTGATCTGTTTTGTTTGGTGATATTGCAGGGCTGGTGGCGGTGTATCCGACAAGAAGAAGTAAACACCTTAGTTGCTATTTTCAAGGATTGTTACGTACAACTCTGTTTTCTTGTCTTTCAAATCAATGACAAGCAACACTTGTGTTGTTCCATGTATGGATTTACGTTGGCTCTGTTTTGTCCGAGTCAACGTAGTTTCCCACCTTGAAATTGAAATCTGATTTTGGTAGAAAATTCCATAAAAATATGATTTTTTTCAAGTAAACACATTATATTGAAAATATTACGGAGAGAGGGAGGGAGTCGCCTTGTAAGGTGTATTGTTGTGCGTTTACAAACTTGCCAAAAAAAAAAAATAGGGAAGGCAATATTAAAAAAGAATGGTGAGATTATTTGTAAGGTCGAACCAAATTTTAAAAGAAAAACGTCGATGAAAGTCCACATTATCGAAGAAATAGAATACAGTCCGAAACCATCATATATGAGTTATAAATTAACACAACCATTCTTGAAATTATATCGTAATCCGGTCCAAATTGAAACGTATGATGATATCGTTTTTTTTTGTTTTTTGTATGATGATATCGTTATAAAACTCTATGATATTTTACGCACGTGGAAGGTGTAATCACATCAGTTTTATAAGTATAAATATTTCATATTTCTAAAATAGAAACATTCCCATGCACACGCACAAAAAAAAATTAAAATTTGATCTCTTGGTTACGTAATTCAGCCTTGAAGATTAATGATGAAGCCGCATTGCATGCCTGCCATGCCATGTAAAATAATTTGGGCCACGTGATAAAGCCCATATAAATACCCAATAAAGCCCAGATCAGGTTAATTCGGTCTCTTTGGAAATAGTAAATCTAGGGTTTTCTCCATACATAAAGGTCTTTTTGGTCGGCCGTTGTATTTCTGCTTCTCCAGCGCTGGAACCCTAGGAGGTCGATCCTATACAAGGTAACTAGCAAATCGGATGCTCTTATATCAGGGTTATGTTCAAAATTGTTTCTTGTTCCAATTTCGGAAATGGTTCTTGTTCTGTCGCATTCAATTTATCATTTCCAGCTTTGATGTGAATGGTCGATGTATTGCAGAAGATGACTACTCCGCAAGCTAAGAGCGGATTGTTCGTCGGACTGAACAAGGGACACGTCGTCACCAGGCGCGAGTTGGCTCCTCGCCCCTCTTCTCGCAAAGGGGTATTTCACACTTCCCTGATTGGGGTTTTCCTCTTAAAGAATTTGGTTCTTGCTCACTGTGATGTTTGGATTCGTTGCATTTAGGCTCTCTAGATTGTGGAAGAGTGCTTAATCAGGGTTTTGATAGGATGAAACCTTGTTGTTTTGCTTAAGATTGTTCTGTCTGAATCTGTATTGGGTTTTATGGGTTTGTAGCTCGAAGTTTCTTTGCTGTACTGTACTAATTCCGAGAGAATTTGAGAGTATCGCACTTCTCACCGAAGAACTCTCCTCACTCAATCTCGCACGAACTCGATGAACAGAGATCAAAGACGAAAAATAAAGGACACAGGAGATTTACGAGTTCGGATCGATCGTTGTGATCGAACCTACGTCTCGGAGGGGAGAGAGGATTTATTTCTTGAATCAAGGATCAAAGCGATTACAATCGAGAGATTTTTCCAAATCTGTAAGACTACAACCTTTTGGGTATATTCCAATAACTCTGGTGATATACTCAGAGAAGATGCTGACTCAGCTTTAATTACCCGAGCACTAAGCCTCCGTTTCAGATAGAGTATTCTGCTTTTCCAAAACCTCCTTACCACTCAGAGTCTCTTGAACGAGATTTAAGGCACTGACATTACAGTCGCTCCGACAGGATCCATTGTTGTGGCACTGCGAGCACACATGATCCATCGTCCCGAACAAATAACCCTAAAACGAAGAGACAAATGATTCAAAAGCTGTTCAAGCTGAAAAAAAAAACACAGCGATATTTAATTCAATTTTGTTGGTAATTACGACGAAAAAGCTTCTAGGCAGTGTTGTTTGAATCTCGGGGGTTCTTCTCTCTAGTCTCTCTATATATATATATACGCCTCACCAACTATGCTTTATTTCAACTCAATAACAGTGAGGAATCATCATCTATCAAACTTTTTTTCCACCTTTTTTAAGGAACATTATTATTTGATATATATATATATATATAATATTACTTGGTTATATATATGTATGGGAACTGTCGATGTGGCCATGACGATGAGCCGAATGGAAAGGACATGGGTTAGTGGTCTTATATCAGATGATCACATCATCGTCGTATCATGGTTCATCATCATTCTTTTCCTTGTTTTAAAACTTCAGTCAACGTAAATATAACTCATATAGAACAAGCATGTGTGATGTTTGAATTTTTTTAATAATATATTCAGATAGATAACATATAGACAAATAGGACTCTAAACGTGTATGCATCAACATCAACATAAACGTGTGTGTGTATATATATATATATATATATATATATTCACATACATCGTAGTTTATAAAAAAAAAGTGTGTTATAATTGCGGCGTTATAAGTTATATGTGGTTTATGGATTATGACTAGTTGACGAGATGTTAGTGCAAGGTACGAGAAAACCCAATAGGGTTATATAGTGGGGTTTAATGTTAAATTTTATCAAGAAAAATCACAAAACATGGACCGTTCAATGTGTTAGGTCGTCGTCCTCTCTGTAGCTAATGCATGCAATCACTTCTCTCTCTCTCTCTCTCGATTTCTTTATTACCCTTCTTCTCTATCGTCCGGTAGCAGCGCTCGTTCGAAAGAATCCTCCGATTCATTTATAACATAACGGACTGATTTAACTCCTACGCGTGTGTTGCAAATTCGTGCGCGTGGGCTTGAGGTTTGACTCGCAGGCGTCTAAGCCCAACTACGGTCCGAGCGTTAGGCGCGTCTGGTGGCCAGGTCCGGCGGATTGAGGTCCATGGGACTGTTAGGTGCGGGTGGTGGTCAGTTCGTATCCGTTTGTAAGGGTAGGTAGTCACGGAGTTCCCCAATATATCAAAAAAAAAAAAAAGATTTCGTCCCGTTTAAAAATTTCATGTGTTTTATAGCTTATTATATGATTAAACGAAAAGCCAAATAGAAAAGCGTTGAGCTTGTGGGGTAGTGTGCACAAAGGTGGAGGACAGTGACACTTCTACCAACTTTCGCCTCTTGATTGGTTGATGGCATTGTCATGGCAAATCCTCCAAATCTATAAACAAAAACAAAAGAGAAATACTACTTCATATTATCAATTATAACTATAATAAAAAAAATATTAAATTGTTTGGACCCTCAATATTTTTTTATAATAAAAAAAAAATCATCCGACGCATGAGAATTATATTATCTTTGTACTAATTCCGAGAGAATTTGAGAGTATCGCACTTCTCACCGAAGAACTCTCCTCACTCAATCTCGCACGAACTCGATGAACAGAGATCAAAGACGAAAAATAAAGGACACAGGAGATTTACGAGTTCGGATCGATCGTTGTGATCGAACCTACGTCTCGGAGGGGTTCCATATTCTGTTTTTGACCTATTTCCTTTCTTTCTGACATCACTTCTTTGTAGACTATTTCTTCATCGAATACTACGTTTCGACTAATAATCACCTTCCCCTCTTCAGGTAGCCAGATTTTATATCCCTTAGTCCCGGAAGGATAGCCTACAAAATAGCCCTTTTTAGCCCGTGGATTCAGTTTCCCTTGATCACCATGTGGGTATGCTACGCTTCCAAATCTTCTCAGATGGTTGTAGCTTGCATCTCTACCATTCCATACTTCATTTGGAATTCGAAAGTCCAGGGCTGTTGATGGAGAGCGATTGATTATGTGGACACTGGCGAATGCAGCTTCTGCCCAAAACTCATGTGGTAATCCTGATTCCGACAGGATACATCTCACCTTTTCCATAATGGTTCGATTCATTCGTTCGGCTACTCCATTTTGCTGTGGAGTGTATGGACAAGTCTTATGCCTAAGAATACCAACTCTGGAACAGTGCTCATCAAATTTCTTATTGCAGAATTCCAATCCGTTGTCGGTGCGTAGAACTTTCAGTTTCTTCCCTGTTTGCCTCTCAGCCATGGTTTTCCATTCCATAAATTTTTCGAAGGCCTCATCCTTTCTTCTGAGAAAGTACAGCCACACCCGTCTTGAGAAATCATCTACAAATGATAAGAAATACTGGTAGCCAGACATGGAAGGTGTTGTTGCTGCGGATCCCCACAAGTCCGAGTGAACATATTCAAGAATTTCTTTGGAAGTGTGTTTTCCACTTCCAAAAACTAATCTGTGAGATTTCCCATATATGCAGAACTCACAGAATTTCATCCCAGACGTATCAGTTTTATCAATGGCTCCTTTCTTCACTAAGATATCCATGCCTCTCTGTGACATATGTCCGAGGCGACTATGCCAGAGTTTCGTTTTGTCTTCAATCTTTCTGCCAATCATTGCCATTCCTTCTACCGTTTTTCCTTCCAATATGTAGAGTCCATTCCTCAAAGTGCCTTTTAGTACAGTTCTGCACCCTCTTATTACTTTTAGGCAACCGTCTTGTGACTTATACCAACACCCCTGCGTTTCCAGAGTTCCTAGAGATATCAGGTTCGTTTTCAGAGCTGGAACATATCTAACCTGAGACAGTATCACTTCTGATCCATCATGAGTCTTCAACCTTATATTTCCGACCCCCATAATCTTGCACGTTGAGTGGTTACCCATTCTTACTCCACCCTCTTGTTTTTCTTCTAGATCAGTGAACCACTCTTTTCTTGGGCATAGATGAAACGTACACCCGGAATCTAGTACCCAATCGTTTTGATAATCTCTTTCTGGAGTTATCAGTGCCTCATCCTGATCCATCACCAAAACTTCAGAATCATATCTGTTGCCTTTTGCAACATCGGCTTCAAACTTTTCTGTATTCTCGGTGGGATTCTGTTCCCTTTTTCTAGCATAGCAATCTTTCCGCATGTGACCTTTCTTCCCGCAGTGCCAGCATTCCAAATCTCGATTTCTTGATCGTGATCTAGAAAAATGCTTCTTCTGGCCTGGTCTACTTCTCTGGGATGTTCTTCCTCTCATGTGTAGACCTTCACTTGGTCCTTTTCCAATCTTTCCTTGAGATATTAATTCCATTTCCTTTGATCTAGCTGCTGCTTTAACTTCTTCTGGAGTTATAGATGCTCTCGAGTACTTTAAGACTTCTCGGAGTTGCTCATACGGTGGAGGCAGTGAATTCAGGAGATATACTGCCTGATATTCATCTTCTACTTTCACCTGTAAACTTTGGAGGTCTGATAGCAGTTTTTGAAATACGTCAAGATTATCCTCCATTGATTTCTTTTCGTCCATCTTGAAACCTGAAAGTCTCTGCATCAAATACATCCTGTTAGGTAAAGATTGTTCAAGAAACATACGTTCGAGTAGCTTCCAGATTCCAAATGCTGTTTTCTCGTGGATGACTTTTCTGAGGATCTGATCCGAGAGGCATAACACGATCAAGTTCCTAGCTCTCCGGCTCTTCTCAGCTCTGTCCTGTATAGGTCTTGTGACTTCAGTCTTCGTCACCAAACCCGTCGTAACTGTAGATTCCGCTCCAGGTGTGGCAGATGAGTCTACAGCCGATCCAATGGTGAATGCCTGTTTCGGCGTTCTTTCCTCGATACCGATCTTCGATTCCTGTCCCGCCATCCATGTTGCAGGATCATCTTCTAAGGTTTCCAGCAAATCCATTATCTCCAGTCCGATCTGTATTTTCTCCTTCCACAGAACGAAATCGTTCTTACCGTCGAATTTTTCGACATCCAGCTTTTGTAGCGATGCTGCCATTTTCAATCTTCTGAATCTTGTTCTTCTCCTTCACTTTCTTGACACGATTTCTTGTGCCTAGCCCCAATCGACCGGGCTCTGATACCACTTGTACTAATTCCGAGAGAATTTGAGAGTATCGCACTTCTCACCGAAGAACTCTCCTCACTCAATCTCGCACGAACTCGATGAACAGAGATCAAAGACGAAAAATAAAGGACACAGGAGATTTACGAGTTCGGATCGATCGTTGTGATCGAACCTACGTCTCGGAGGGGAGAGAGGATTTATTTCTTGAATCAAGGATCAAAGCGATTACAATCGAGAGATTTTTCCAAATCTGTAAGACTACAACCTTTTGGGTATATTCCAATAACTCTGGTGATATACTCAGAGAAGATGCTGACTCAGCTTTAATTACCCGAGCACTAAGCCTCCGTTTCAGATAGAGTATTCTGCTTTTCCAAAACCTCCTTACCACTCAGAGTCTCTTGAACGAGATTTAAGGCACTGACATTACATGTACTTTATACTTAATTACATCAGTTTAAAGCTTGTGGATGTTCTTAGAAATGGCTTTTATGAAAACGTAACTACTCTTCCATTTATGTTAATTCTGTCCTATGTGAATTTGTAGCTTTCTGGTCTTGAAGTTGCATCTTTATTAATGTACCCTGCTAATTAGTGGGTTCATTGTTTGATTTTTATTTTGTCTGACTGTGGAACGTGAATCAAATGTGCAGAAAACGAGCAAGAGGACCCTTTTTATCAGATCTCTCATCAGAGAAGTCGCTGGCTTTGCTCCGTACGAGAAGAGAATTACCGAGCTCTTGAAAGTTGGTAAAGACAAGCGTGCTCTTAAGGTTGCCAAGAGAAAGTTGGGTACTCACAAGAGAGCCAAGAGGAAGAGAGAGGAGATGTCCAACGTTCTCCGCAAGATGAGGTAAATGCTCAATATGCATTGATCTTCTCATCATTCTTCCATTGATTTAGGTTATGCTGCATAATGTTTGCATCGAGATATTCATCTTTTATGGTTAATATGAATGCTTGATGGCTCTGATGATCGGGATAAGGAATCTTTCATGTTCCAAATGGCTAACAAAGTAATAATAATAATAACCCATCTTGATTGAGAGTAGATACAGAGCTGATCCAGTAGTGAAGCTTTAAGGAGAGAGAAAAACTCCAGAGTGTGCAATAATTTGATCATGAAACGCCGTCAAATCTCTTGCCAAGTTATGAAAAAACAATTTTTGTTTCGTCTGGTAAAAGATTTTACTGATCTGTTTCGTCTGGTAACAATGCAGGGCTGGTGGTGTTTCCGACAAGAAGAAGTAAACATCTAAGTTACTGTTTTATGTAGAATTCCGTTTTCTTGTTTTACAAATCAACGGCGAGTGTTTTTCTATGTATGGATTTTTACTTTGTTCTGTTTTGTCCGAGACACGGATCTTCATTGACATCGTTTTCCATCTCAAAGTTAAAAGTGCTCGTATTGGAGTGGTCTTAGGATTCTTGGGAAGTACTTCTCATGGGTCGTGCAAGTGAAAACAATGTATGGTGAAAGATGTCGGGTTTTAACATTTTGTAACGTTTGTGGATACTATAAATGGTATTAGATACTCTTCCAAAAGATGTGGTTTGATGATGAACCAAACGTAAGGTAGTAGTCATACCACATTCCGGTTACAGATGATGTCGTTGAGTGATCGTCAGTGTTAAACCATAACCGATTGTTAATTCTAAACCGGTTCAATTAAATTGAGTTGCTGATGTATATGTTGACTTGGTATCGGTCTTTTTATTTTTATGATGTGGCAAGTCACGATACCATGTTTGAAATCAAGTGTGGTTTATTATCAAATTAAAAATGTCTGTATTTACACTTAAATAAATTGGTATGGATTTATAATTATATCATTTTTCCTAATTTAAATTCAAGATATATATATAATCAACATAAAAAAAAATGAATAAATTTCCTTTCTGAATTTCAACAATGGATATCAAGAAAAACACATAAAACTACTACAAAATTTTCATTTCTGAAAAAAGAAAATAAATTATTGTAAGAACAAGAACCAAATACCCAAATGGAATTTAACTATTTACATTGCTTAGGCCGGAAATTCTCCTGACCAAGAAGCCTAGCCATTAGCTTCTCCAGCCTTTTTGAACTCACCGTTGGCTTAACAACTCCCAAAGGCTTAAGCTCAAAGCCAGAAGAATCAATCCTCAGAAGCTCCTCGTCGATCTTATCGAGGACCCGATCGTTCTCAGGGAATTCCCGAGCGAAAGGGGCACCGCTCTCAACCATTTCTCGGAAATCCTCGACAGTTAGATTCATCGGCCCTTGTTGAAGAATCTCGTTCCAACGCGAGTAATGCAGGTCGTGGTTAACCGTTGTGTTCTGATAGTCTTTGCTGTTGCAGATCACGGTGTGGAAGTAGCCTTCCGGGGACAAGAGGAAGTTCGTGTAGTACATTAGGAGCGTTCTCGGGAGATTTTCCCATCCCCAGATGCAGAATTCAAGGAACGATCTCGTCAATGCAACACTCGTTGATCCTATACACGTAGAAAAAGCAAGCATTCGGATCAGATATGCACAGAACGAAAATGGATTTAGATCGTCGTGCTTGCAAGAAAGAATTTCAATCAAGATTCAAGATTCAAGATTCAAGATTCAAGAATTTGAAATTCTTGAATCTTGAATCTCGAATAAACCGTCGCATTGGCAATTACATTGAAAACATATAGCTTAAACACAGTTTTCCATTGTGGGTTTGAGAATCACATGAATATTTTTGCCCATGAAGAAAAAAAGGCTTAGAAATGGTACGAGAGACTTGTAAGAAATGCCACATTTTACCCATGAAAAGCTTGAAAGAAGCAGGCAGTGATCTTCTTTCCTTAGCCCAAAAGACACCGGATTTTTTCATATGGTACAACCCGGGATCGATGATGATAGGCCTCGCTCTTTGATTCCTACCCATATATATACAAACAAAAGAGAAAATCATTACACCATACGCTACAACTCTTTGAAACTTTCAAGGCATTGAAAAGAAGAAATTCCAGTTTAGGTATACATAAGATTTGGATCTCTCACTCTTTCCAAGCGATGTTGCTCGTGTGCTCGATGAAGTTGAGGTAGCGAGGCAAGTAAGAAAAGATATGCAGAATATCTGAAACAGAAAATAGCCACACAACTATAAGATTCATCGACCTGTAAAAGACAAAAGAATTCGTCGACATGTTGAACCCTAAAACCGGTTTTGCACAAGAATCCTACCAGAATCAGTAACTGGATCGACCTTTTATCATCTCATTGGTAAAACAAGCTTGAATCCAAGCACATATACATCAAGGTTGTGCCCTTATATCTGTCATCTTTCTACACAACCCACGGTTTCCATGGAAGTAACCGTCAATATCCTAAGCAGAATCCAAACCCATTAACAAATTGCTAATCAGATTTTTAATTTACAGAAACATGAACTTCCACTTTGTGTCATGATTTACTCGATCACAGGCATCCATGATACCATTCCAATCAGGGAAACATCAAATGGCAATGTAATGATTCACAGAGATTAAGAGCAAAGTTACCATCCTGAGGCATGAGAGGATAATCAGAAGCACTGAGATTAATGAACCAATCCCAATCGCTAGCTTTCTTCAACATAATCGCAACCCCATGAAGCGTGTTCGCCAACATAGTCGGACCCTTCTCCGTCACCAAATCCGCCATACCCATAACCATCACATTCTTCATCTTCTCCGACCTCACATACTTCGCAAGCTCTAATCTCTCCTCATCCGAAGCTTCTAGATCCAGATGAAGAAGATAGTAGTTCCTCTGATGGTGTATTGCCCTAACCAACCTCTTCACACGAGCTCCGTCCCCTTTTGTTCCCGTCACCAAGTACGCGAACCTCGGAATCTCCGATTTCCCGGAGAAACTCCGGAGCCGGGGATTTGGGTCTGACCCAGAAGACCAATCAGAGGATTTTCGAGGGGTTAGTGTGAATCCGAGGAGGAACAAGAAGCAAATGCCGAGAACTGAAATCGCCGGTCGAGAATACGAACGACTGGAAGAAATGTGAGACCTTTTCATGATTAGAACACATAAATCGAGATCCTAGAGCTCTTCAGGCATAGCCGACCAGATCTATCGGTCTTGCTGTCTCTGGTTCCCTTCGGTCGGACGGTGGAGAAAGAGGGAAGAAGACGAAACCGGAGCTTTTTTGTTTTTCAATTGAACGCAGGAAACAAAACGACATCGTTTAGATATAATTGTTGGAGGAAGACAACCGTTAGATTAGATGGGAGGTATTTTACACCGTAGGATGAGATTGCTCGTCGTTTTATAGTCAGGGGTATATTTGGTATTATACTGAACTCAGCTGTTGGTGGGCTTTCTATGAGTTGTCTTCGTCAACGTCAAATGTCCATGGCACAGTCCTTAACGGAGTTGTGAAGCAATATATTGAAATAAATATTTTTTAAGATTATAAATAAATATTTCAAGAATTATGAATTTATATAATCATACGCAATCATCGCTAATCATTTTTATTTTCATCTTCACTCATCCTCCTCCAGTGAGCTCGTAGTGATACCGAATTTTTAAACAGTATAAAATAAAAATAACACGTGAAAAAAAAAAATATGATTGGAATCACTATCAAACACTAAAACGACTTTCGTTTCAAACTTGTACACATTTGATCATTCCAAAAGCCCAATCTAAATTCGAAATTCTAATGGATAATCTATTTCTTATTTAAATTTGTATTGGAAAAGATTGAAAATGGAAATTTGGATATTTCAAAAATAAGATAATGTAAACATATATATATATATATATATATATATAAACATAGATATTGGTATCGGCACTATCGGAACTTGACAATATGAATAAAAATAGACACAAATTACAGATAATCAATCAAATAAATTCATACAAGGAAAAATGTAAAATTAAATAGACTTGAATTTATTTCTAAGAATAAAACACTCACTCAATCTATAGAGACGCCAAAAACAATAGTGGAAAAGGAAAATATAAACGAAGAAGAGAAAAGTCAAACTAAATAGGAAGCATCAGGAAGACCTTGATGCCAATCGTCGACTCTGTTATTCGCCGGAACCCGCCGGTTGCCAGCATCGCCACCGCCGTTACGGTTTCCGTTAACGTTGCCGTTACCGTTACCCTCCTGCCGTTTGATGTTAACGGTAGCTCGGCAGATCGGGCAATTGGAGTGATCGGCGAGCCACATCTCTATACAAGAAGCGTGGAACGCGTGCTTACACGTGCTCAGTTGCCGGACTTCCTCACCGTCGGCGAATACCGACAAGCAAACCGGACACTCGTTTCCGATCTCCTTCGAATGTGACTCCTTCTTGAACTTCACGTCGGCCACCGGAGTTCCGGCGGCTCGGAGGCGGAGGCGGAGGCGATGAAGGAAGGTCGTCGGAGGAGAAGCTTCTGCGGCGGCGGCGGCCGGAGGAGCAGGGAACGGAGAAGAAGAGGGCGTAAGCGAGGGCAGGGACTGCGATGACGGCGATTACGGCGAGGATGAATTTGAGGGGAGAGAGATCGACGCTCCGGGGAGGCGCCGGGAACGGCGGAGGAGGTCCGATGAGGGTGAAGGTAGAGTTGGAGGCTACTCCTCCCCCGCCGGGGAATACGGTCGCCGGAAAATTCGTTGTTCCGGCGGAGGAGGGTGAGCCGGTGGTGGCGGTGGAGTTATTGGGCATTTGATGGGAGATGATGATGAAATCGAGGAGGTGGGTTTGTGTTGTGTGAGTGGTGGGGAAGAAGGATGACAATGGGAAAACTACTTCTTACTAACTAAGTTTGGTTTTTTTTATAATTATTGTTATTATTATTATTATTATTATTATTATTTATGTCGTCGTCGTCTTTGTAATGAATGTAAATTGGCGTATTATATTTTAAGTCTCTCATAATGGATTCCAAGGAAATTGGAATAATGTGGGATTTTTTCTCTTGATCACAATTAGCCTACCGTTAATTTTTGTTAACAATCAAGTTATATCTTAAATTATATTATACCATCAAATTGACATTCTTAATTATAACGTGGAAAAATTATTGTAGAATAATTTTATGGATGGTTATAGTTTGATAGTTTAAATAACAAATAATAGATGGCTTGAGTTTTTTTTTAAATATTTTTGTGCAGAAGTTGTTGTTTCAGTCATTTTTTTGTATAAAGGAAGAATAGTATGTCTTAAAATACAAAATTAAGTTAATTAATTTAAATAAAATTATTTGCATGATTTATTATGTCTACAAAAATGCAAACTACATTTGGATGTATTAAATTAAGTAGGTTGAATAATGGCTTCTAATAAAAATTAATGATTCTCAATAGTGTGATACAGATTCATAATTATTTTTCATAAAAATATTCCTCACTTCCTAGTATTAGCTTAGTATATTTCACTCTTTTAGCATATTAGTAATAGTAACTCCATTTATTGGCAACAAAATTACACCATTCAAAAATAAAAATTCGCCACGAAAATTTAAAAATTTCTCAAATAGTAATAATGTTATTTTTTAAAAAACAATGAAAATTTGTATGTTATCAGTGGAGAGAGAAGAGAGGGAGGACATTCGTTGAGGTTTCGTTATGATGTGTACATGTTTATGTGTTTGGTTTGGACCGATTGGTTGTTGTCGGTGACATCACACACTATTTTCTATGCCCTTTTGTTCTAATTTCATTTATCCCATCATTTTTTTAATTTCTTTTTCGTAATTGTTTTTTTTTAATCTTGGCAAAATAAACTTACACAAATTATTCGGAAATCCCAATCGAAAATATATTTAGTTTTTGGCCACTCAAATGAATATTATTTAAAGTTGGGAATATAAGTTGATATTTCAAGTTTTGCTTGGAATATTTTTAAATATTTTTTCATTGGGTTTGAATTTTATTTGGACTTATCCAATTTTGTTTTGAGTAAAAAAAAACTGAAAATTTAGTTTTATTTATTTAAGTTGGTTTAGAAAAATAAAAAAAAAACTATGCAAAAAAATGTTTAATTTTATACCTATATAAAAAAATAAAAATTTGTAAACATACATATTTTCTAAATATCAAGATTTATCTACAATATTTATTTATCTTATTCTCTCTTATTTTTTTCTCTGTGTTTTTTTTTCCTTTACAATAATGTTTCAATATTTATCCATCTATTTTTTTTTTATTCTGAAGTGGAAACCTAACGAAATCAACAACATCAAAATCTTGATACCTACATTGTTAGCCACTGAGATTTTTTTTTTTGGTTTAAATGTTACGTCCATATCCATAAGTTCTATATAACATTGTCTCCGATATTAGATTCTGACAACCACCAATATTCACCGATATCACAACAACGAACGTATAAAATAAACTATAATATTTTTGACATGAGATGACATGATTCATAAAAATCATGCAATACTCTTATTAGAAAAAGTAAGCGAACCAATCATAATTTCAAGATGTTATTAGAGTGAAAAAAAATAAACAAAATGGTAATAATGAAGAGATATACTAAAGAATGTTTTTATTTTTCCAATTTTTTAAATATTATATTTTAGATAATAGATAATAAAATTATATAAAACAAATTTAAAATTACAAACTAGTCTAACGGCTAGGTGTCGTGGTGTAGTTGGTTATCACGTCAGTCTAACACACTGAAGGTCTCCGGTTCGAGTCCGGGCGACGCCAGTTTAATATATTAAATTTTTCCAACTCAAATGTTGGCCTAATCGGTTATTTCAATAATGGAATGGACACCATACCTTTTCTTTACTAAGCCCATTAGGCTTTAGAATTTTGGATCTTTATAGGCCCATTTGTTTATCTTCTTACTTGGAGTCTCTCGCAACTCAAAACTTAATCTTTACTTTTGCTGTTTTTTATTTCTACTTTTATTTTTTGTTTTTATTTTATTATTATTCTTTGTTTTAACCACGTGGCCGGTTGATGTGGCGAAATTGATGATATATACCATCACGGCATCCATACCGTTAACAGAGATTAAAAAAATTTAACGCCTGTTTAGAATCGATTTAGAAATTGCTAACGATTTTACAATTCGATGTAAGTATTTGATATAGTTTAAATTTGAGTGTATTCTTTTTGTCAAACTTAAAATTTGTGTAGTATATTGACCATTCAAATAAATCTCTGTAGATTTTTGTTATTTTTTTTTATTGTATTCGGATTTGATTTTTCCATTTTAAAATCTATGCCATATTCCATTCAGATTTGTTTTAACATTTGCTCTTCATTAATTATGATTATTTGTTATTAACTTTAGAACAATTGGTTAGAATGATTTAGGGGTTCCAAATGGACTGACCATCTCGATCTTAAAATCTTTTAGTCCAATTCGGTCTATCCTATTTTTTTAACGATTTAGTTCAACTTAATACGATTCGATTTACGAATCAAATATCTAATTAAAGAAATACAATTTAAATTTGGCTAATCATATATATAATAGATTAAATATTCCAAAAATAATAGATTACATATTAATTTTAATCAAGATATGAAATAAATAAAATAACTCATTTAACAGATGCTAAAACTGACTGGCGACGAATGAAGATGTAGTAGAATAAAAATTGATATCAACATTACGTCGTCGTCTTGTAAAAAAAAATACCATTTAGACCAATAAAATACAATTAATTACATATATAACCATTAAGAAGGAACATTCATTGTCCTCATCTACCATTGGCATTTGGACGTCTCTAATTGCTTTTGCATTTACTCGCTACCGCCGAAAGAATATTAAATTATAAAATAAATAAAATGAAAGGCAAGTCAATTGTTGTCAAATTTTTTTAATAAATATATGTTCGCCTACTTAATCCCTTTATATCTCTGATCAACTTTTAGTCACTTAATTAATTATACCTCTTTTTATCTACTAATAAAATCGATCCAAAATCGTAAAATGATTTTGTCACCTCTTAATAACGGTGTCATCTAATAGTGAGCGGTTACTTCTTGTTTTTGTCCGAGTAATACTGCACCTGCCTTCATGTGTTCTATGAAATCATGGGTTTTTTTATTCCCAACTGTTGGCACCCTTTTGTAGTTGAAAATAGTTATGTCTCCTTGCCATAGAGGGTCTTCTTCCAACCACCTCCTTACTTTAAAAATAATTTATTTTACAGGTTTTTAGGGTTAGATTTTTTTTTCAGCGAGAAAACAAACAATCATATATATATATATATATATATATATATATATATATATATAAACAGAGATTTATTTAGTCGATGTAAAATATTCATTTGGAAGCGAAACATAATGTTATCGAGCGACGTGAGAATGGGAGGATTGCGTCTCGTGGTGACATTAAATTTCTTGAGTACAAAGATTACAGCGTACCAACCTAACACGCAATTATTGTCTAAACGCATTAATTACCATTAAACACTAATCTCCCTTCTCAACCGACACACACACTTGTCCCCTATAGCATATGATGTTATTAGAAAAACATATTTAATTTCATGGGTTTTAGAAATTCATGAATGAGACTCTCCTCTTCGAAACTATACATCAGTCCTAAGATGATCTCGGAAAACATATTATCCTATATTAATAATAAAAAAAATCAATTATTATAGAATATATTAATTTGGTTTAATTTAGAGATATATGGCTCCATTTTTATTAATTTATATCCGTTGGTGAATCAATTTGACCATAAATGCGACCACCTCTTACCACGTTAGCTATGTTAATGGAACAAGTTGTTCCGAATCTGTGATATTAATATATCATATATGTATGGTTGGAATATGATCATATTTCTATTTATTTGAGAATCAAACCTATAGTTAATCAATTAATTAGATATTAAATTATATATGATATCTACCGTTTTGAAAAGACGATCATCGTTCAACTGTTAATTATGATATGGTTTGATCCCATACATTAATATTCTACCTAATTTGTTTGACATATTCTGGAAAATATAAAAGATTTAAAAGCATTGCGTTTTTATAAAGATTAGCATCAAAGTATTGTAGAAATTCGATTGTAATGTGACTAAAAAGGCGATGTTTACCTCAAATAGCTTAATTAGTAAACAAACGCATATCGACATAATTGAAATTAATAAATATAAAAAGAAAATATGAATTTTGTTTGTTCAAAAAATTAATATATATATATATATATATGTAATTCTTACAAGGAAAATAAAATGTTTCAAGTGTTTCTATTTTTCTTATTAAAAAAATAAATTCTCCATAAATTTATTATATAGCATATATATATGTGTGTATCATCTAAGCTCCAATGGACCTCAATAACTCTTCTGCTTTTCCTTCATTCCCATCATCCTCCATTTTTTTTTTCGCACTCTTCTTCCAAATCTTCGAAACTTTTTTTTGGTAAGTTTTTCTTGTTCGATCCTTCGTTATAAAAAGAAAAAAGAAATTCGAAGGGAACAAATAATATAATTTTATTTAACAGAGGGAAAAAGAAATGGGAATATATGAAATGGCGACAGGAAGAGAAGGAAGAAGTGGGTTTGGTTCTGCTTCAACTGCTGAAGACGTCACTCATGGCATTCATGCCCATTCTCTCACTGCCATTGTCACAGGTTCCTTTTTTTTCTCCTTCTTCTTATATATTCAACCATTTGACAATATATATTGTGTTTACTATATGTATACATATATATATATATATAATATATGTATATTCTTCTGGGTTTTTGTTGTTGTTGAGAAAACAGGTGGGACAAGTGGGATAGGATTGGAGACAGCAAGAGTGTTAGCAAAGAGAGGAGTTCATGTCATTGTGGCTGCAAGAAACGTAGAAGCTGCGAAAGAGACTAAAGATATCATTCTCCAATCAAACCCTAATTCCAAAATCGATTTTCTTCCGCTCGATCTCTCTTCCGTCAAATCTGTCCGATCTTTCGTCCGACATTTCCTTTCCCTGAATCTTCCCCTCAACATTCTAATGTTCGTATAACATCCTCGAAATACGATCTTTGATTGTAATCTTGTTCGGGAATGATACGATCGAGATTCTACTGCAATGTAACCACTCTTTTGTTGTTGTTGATGTTAGAAACAATGCCGGTGTTATGTTCTGCCCTTTTCAACTCTCGGAGGATGGGATCGAGATGCAGTTCGCTGTGAATCATATCGGTAAGTATCTTATGGATATATATGGACCGACCATACTATAAAACTATATATATATATATATTAATCGTTGTAACCAACGAAAATCTACTTCTATTGTCTGCGTTCGTGGTTCATATAAATTTGGGGAAAGCGATTTCTGTTTTCTTTGAGTTTAGTACCAAAAGCCTTTCCTATAAAAAAAAATGGTGTGTGTGTGTAATGAATATCGCTCACACATTCATGAGAAAGGAATTTATTAGTTTGTCCAAATTTTCATTTTTATTTTTGTTTTATTGTACAAAGTTTTTTCATGTGATGCATGTGTCACTTTCTTTGCGGTTAAACAATTATATCTATACATATATAAAAACCATTTGCGTCGATTAAACACACACTCACATATTTATGTATATATATTAAAACTAGATTTCATGTGTTCTCTTGGTACTAGGTTTAATTAGACCGTTTATATTTCCCCTATAGATACATCAGTACATACACATATACAAGAAATATATTATTTAGATAATTATAAAGTTGGAATAAATGTGAAACAAACAAACAGGTCATTTTGTATTGACGAAGTTGCTGCTGGACAAAATGAAGAGCACTGCCGAAGAAACAGGAACCCAAGGAAGGATCGTGAACCTGTCCTCCATCGCCCATTTCTTCACTTACACCGAAGGGATCAAGTTCCACGACCTCAGTGATCTCCATCCGTAATTCTTCCATTTATTTAATTATTATTTTCATGCACATTTATAAATATATTTTAATTATATAAAAAATTGAGAATTTGTTTTTATTTTTTTTCAGATACTCGGACAAAAGGGCTTATGGTCAGTCTAAACTGGCAAACATCTTACACTCCAACGCCCTCTCTCGTAGGCTACAGGTAAATTGACATATATGCTTACATACATAATATACATGTATGTACATACATACATGCATATACATATAGGTACTAACGCATGGATAAGAACACAACTACCTGTACCAAATGATTGTTCTCGATGTGGAACATGAATATGTTTATATATATATATAATTTCCCCTTATGCTTTAAGGGTGAAAGGATGAAATTATTCGTAATTGAATATATGGAAAAATACGATATATATTGTTTTTATGAATATATACGTACGACATAGTATAATATAATTAACAAACCATCCAAAAAAAGGAATTTTATTTTATTTTACGTCTCTATGTGATGTGGCTGCGGTGGCGGTCTCATGATTCGCGTGCAGGAAGAAGGTGCGAACATCACAGTAAACTCGGTTCACCCCGGTTTAATCACTACCAATCTATTCAGACACTCCGGTTTACTCATAAGTACGTCCGGTTTACGAGTATTTATTTATTTCCTTCTCGTTAGTCATATATATATACATACACACGTACATATAACCGTATAAATACGGTTAATTTATTTTGAAGTGATTTTAATGCAGGAAT